TATATGTTACTTGGCATTCCCCGCCCCCCCCCTTGCAGCTCTTAATATTCCTTCTTTATTCTGTATGTTTAATGTTTTGATTATTTTAAGGTGAGGAAACTTTTTGTGGGGCAGCCTATTTGGTGTTCTGTAAGCTTCTATCTTCATAGGCATATCCTTCTTTAGGTTTTGAAAGTTTTCTTCTATGATTTTGTTGAATATATTTTCAGTGTCTTTGAGCTGGAGTTCTTCTATCCCTGTTATTTTTTAGGCTTGGTCTTTTCATGGTGTCTCAGATTTCCTGGATGTTTTGTGTTAAGAATTTGTTGGATGTAACACTTTCTTTGATTGATGCATCTGTTTCCTCTATTGTATCTTCAACTTTTGAGATTCTGTCTTCCATCTTTTGTATTCTGTTGTTTATGCTTGCATCTGTAATTCATGCTCATTTGCCCAAATTTTCCATTTTCAGAATTCCTTTGGTTTGTGTTTTCTTTATTGCTTCTCTTCCAGTCTTCAAGTCTTCAGCTGTTTGAATTGTTTGCTTCACTTGTTTGATTGTTCTTTCTTGGTTTTTTTTTTGTTTTTTTTTTTTAAAAAAAGGGGATGTATTAATTTCTTCCGATTTTTTTTTTTGTCTTTTCCTTCATTTTTTAAGGGTATTTTTCATTTCTTCTTTAAGGACCTCTACCATCTACATAAAGTTATTTTTAAGATCATTTTTTTTTCTGCCAGTTCCTGGTGGTGCCGTATTGCTCTTTGTGTTGTTGAATGTATTCTTAAACTGCCCTCTACCCATCTCTTCCTCCAATCTGTATAGGTGGGGCCTGTAGTTCAAGTAGTTATTCTTTCCCCAGGTGCAGTTAGGGCCTCTTCCTGTGGGTGCAGTTGGGGCCTGTGGCTCCAGTGGTCCCTGGTACTGTCTTTCCAGGTGCAGTTGGGGTTGGTGGATCTGGTGGTTGCTGGTAAGGTGGCGGGGATGGTTGGCTGGAGAGAGTGCTGCCAACTGGTCGCTGGGAGTGCCCTGGGTGGGGAGTGGTGGAGCCGGAGCCCAGAGAATAGAGCTCCCCAGCAGGGGTCTCAGACACCCATCTGTTGCTGAAGGTGCAGTTGGGGTGGTGAGGCCAGTGATTACTGTCAGTCCAGGTGCACTTGGGGACAGTAGGGCCTGTGGTCGCTGGGGTGGAGGTGGGGGATGGTTGGTGGAACCTTAGTTACTCTTGAAGGAAAACCCCAAAATAGTCTTGAATATGTTTCAGACACAAAAGGCTCAGATTTTCAATGACCAGTTTTATGGTAGCTTCCTCATCTCTGCTTTAATCTGCTTTGGTCTACTTCTCGTTCCTAATCCTCAGAAATATGCTGCCTAGGTCAGTCCCCTTTTCTCTGAATTATTATTCTGAAAGTATTTTTATTATGCTTTCTTTACCATGTGAAATTATAAATTATTTTGACTTTTCTAATAGGCATTTCTTCCTATTACTTGTAATCTTGAAATAAAATTGATGACAACTTCTCTTAGATTTTAAAACCATTTACAGAGATCTCAAGAGTATATTGTGTATGGGGATTCCCAAACTTCTGCATTTTATAATAAACAGAAATAAGGGGTATGCATACTATTGAATATAATTTTCACTAGGAATGGTAAGAACATGTGCATCATTATGCATTTAAAGCAATAAGAAGAGAAAAGGGCCTAGAGTAAGAGGAAGTGTTTTCCTAGGAAGGGGTGAATTTACACCAACCTAATAACTGCAACACCATGTTAGAATTGCTTTGTTAAGTTTTACTTATGAATGCTAAACATGACTAATACAGATGTTGTGAAGCTATTTCCTGGAGGGAAGAGAGAAACTCCTTAGACACAAAAAGTAAACAAAACCCACAAGACTCCTCCCCATCCCCAGTGCATTCAATAAACAATTAGAGAGCTCCTACCTAAGCATGGAGCCCCAGGGATGCAACTTACCTTTCCCTTTGTTGGGATGAACTTGCTGGTGATGTTGCTGCCTTTGAGCCATCTATCCTCCTGCAAACAACCCCTCATCTGCGCTGTTGTACTTCCAGCAAAGTTACTGGGTTATTGAACTGAACTTGGGTGGAATAGCTGTTTGGTCTGTCACAGTGCCCTGTCTGGGGTGAATAGGCAGTGTTCTGTTCTCTCCAGAAGTCACATCAATAGATATTTTGACTCCTCAGAAATTTGAAAATATGTCAGCTCAGGATTTCAGGTCCTGTTGACCTTTCTAGAATTTTTAACAGTTCTCTTCTTTCCTTTCTGTTACGCAAAAACATTACTACTTCAATCATTTGTTGAGAATCCGCATTGATTACCATGCTTTGTGCAGGGCACTTTATATTATTTCCTCATTAGTCTATAGACTCCCTAATTAGACATCAATACTGTTTAAATTCCCAGATAATAAACTCTACAGTAAGGTTGTGATTTACCTGACGCACATTTGCACAGCTGCAAGGGCAGAGTCAGTGTTTGATAAGTCTCCCAGTGACTGACTGCTGCTGTTCCTCTGTGTTCTCTCCATAACACTCACGTTTGTACCGCATGAGTATCAGGTTGTTAATGGGAAAATGCCTGGGTAAGGGAACCAGTGACAGTTAAAAATCTAGCTGGCCTTCTGCTTCTTAGGCTGGGACCTATGGCAAGGGACTCTACCTCTTGGAGAAGGGGTGGGCAATACTTTTTCTAATTATGTTTCTAGTTCCCCTTGCACTGCACAATCTGTATCCTTTATCTTTGCTTGCACTATGAATGCAATCTTTCAAAACACCCTTTTAGGGTGGGTCTTCTCTGGTTGTCCCAATCCCTTTCTTGTTTCGTTAACCATAGTTTAAATGATGTATGAAGCTTGTCTTCTTGTCTGCCACTACCCCTGTCCCAGTGCTAGATCAACCCTCCACTGGCTAAGCCTCCATAGCATTTCACTTGCAAATAACCCAGAGAACATGTATTGCTCTCTTCCTTTTATTTTATTATTTCTGAACACGACAGGACATTTGCATGTATGGACTCAACAGTGGCTGTGACAGCATGCTAGTTGTACAAGCTCAAGTTAGATAATATCCCTGTATGGAGTGGGGAGGTAGGCACAAAGTCTCACCCCTAGTGAGGACCTATTGGTATTTGTTAGCTGCTGGGGAAGTGAGAATCAATTTTCTTCAAGGGTGTGGCCCCTGGTTGGTCACACTTGGTAGTTTTTGGAGTACAAATTGCACTTGAGGGCTTAAGAAAAACACAAGTTGTGTGGGTAGAGTCAGAGTAGGTGAGTGTGTGAATATAACCAAAATACATTTGTGTAATTCTCAGAATCCAAAAAATTATAAGTGATGATAGTAAATTTTTTTTGAGAAACTTAATGCATGGGATTTGTTAGGGCATTAAAAATCACAGGCTATAAAGTAATTCCTTTGTTTCTAAGTACTTGCCGGTGAGTTCTCCTTACACTTCAGACAAAGTCACACTGTAGCAGGTTGCGTGTAGCCAGCCATTCATAACTTGGAAAAGTATAAAGCAGTGTTCTTTGATTCTTGAAAAAAAAATTTAGGTTTTTTTTTGTAAAAGTATACCTTTCGTGTTAATACATAGTTTATTGTTCAATAACGAATTAACTATTTTAATTTCTGATATGACATGTTTGTGCCTTTTTTTCTACATTTGCAGGAACTCTTTGTTCTTTAGTTCAATTTAAGTATGAGGATGTCCTAAAACCAAAAAATTTGATAACCTCTTATACTTAATTCTGTTTTCAGACAACACACCTTTATGAGCAGCATTAAGTTGGAATATCTGGAAAGTTGTGAATATCCTGTAGCCCACGAGATTAGTGTTCTCTTGAGAGTATGGCAACACCAAATTTTGTTGCTATCTCTATTTTCAAAAAGTGATAATAGTTTGTCATAGTTGTACTGTTTTTGGCTTCTATTGACAATTTTCCCTCCTGATATCTGTTCAGATTTTTCACTGTTACCAGGAAGCTTTCTTCAGAAAAATACTAGGAACTTATGCAGAAATGATTAATCCTTACTTTTTTAACTTGTTCCTTGTTTTCTTATATTTAAAGATTGCTGAGAGAGCCGTTCATATGTGTAAGAGGATTTCTGCAGTGGCTTGGGGTTGTGCAGTGTTTATGTGCTATTCTGAGGAGTGATTCTGTTTCTGGGAAATCATTAATCACTTGAATAAAAAAATCATTAGGTTCGTCATAGTTCGTCTCAAAAAGTTTTATAAAAATGTTACTTATCTTTAAAAAGGAAACTTATTTAGACTTTCAAATTTGAATCCTGTTTATATTTTTTTGTTCAATTCAAAGAGTTCCTTTACATTCACCAGGCGGCCAAACTAGTCATCCAGATATCAGCTGTAGACAAAGGGTGTTCGTGCCTTGAGTGTGGAGCTGCTCACTCTCGCATTTTGTCCTTGCCTGCTCTATTGTAGTGCCGCTTTCTCCTTTCTTCATCCTTTGCTCCCCCAGTGATCTTAGCCACGCTGTCGCCACACTTAAATTCTAGTGATATAAGTAAGTTTCTTGCAGATGTGATTGCATTTCAAAATTTAGACTTTTATTATCATAAAAATCTCACAAATATGTTCTTCCGGTCTTTGATATTTCCAATTAATATTTTTGGTAGTTTTGAAGAAAGAGAGAGAGAGAGAGAGAGAGAGAGAGAGAGAGAGAGAGAGAGAGAAATGAAACAATTGATATTATTTTCCTTTGATAATTGAATTACATGGAAAAAGTAGAACCAACAATTTGCTTCTCCCTGTAGCAAATGTAAAGAGCTCAATAGAAATATAATTTCTGCATTATATTGCAATTTTGAAATAGTACAACTTTCCTTTGTCTTTGAAAATGTTGAAGTTCTTGAGGTCTTGCTTTGAGTCCTTTATACTGAAATCTTCTAATTTAGAAATATCAGATGAGTATTCTGTGTGAATCTATCATAAACAGGGCTATTATCAGATGACTTCTTACAGCATGATTCTCTGTGCATTTTCTTAGGCCAGAGATGAAGAAGAAGCCTTTCTGGACTGGAGTGATGAAGATGATGGTGGATTTGATCCAAGCACACTTCCAGATCCAGACAAGCACAGAAGTTCCGAAGAATCTGAAGAATCTGAGAGTGAAGATATGAAACATGAGATGAGGTATGTTTTTATCTTTAGTGTCATTAAATACAAATTTCACACATAGGTCTTATTTTAATGAAATCAGTGACTACTGAACTATTGCTTTGAGAATTTTTTGAAACCTTTAATGACCTGTAAAGTTTAATTTCCTTGTTCTGCATCTCTTGCATACTCTTCTGATCCTTTTAAGGACCTTGGCTAATACTACATTTGTAATTTCTGTTATCGCATATAACTGATACATGAATTCTGTTTTCTTATTCTTTGCTTTTTTCTTCCTCTCCATTCTTTTTTTTTTTTAAGTGGGAAGTTTTGCTGGGGGAAGGAAGGATGTGGGGAAAGGGAAGGGAGAGAGGAAAAGAAACAGAGAAAAAGAGAAGAGACAGGAAAAGTTCTACGTGCCCCTTCAGAGTCTCCTTTCATTCTTAATCCTCTATACTTGAGTAGTTTTTGAAGTAGAATAAACACAAACAGGCAGCGTTTTATTTTAATCAATTATCAATGGATTTTGGTGAGAATTCTATTAAAAATTATCTTTGAAAACCTAGGTGTGGTGATACATACCTTTAATTCCACCACTTAGCAGATTCAGAAAGAGAATCATGCCATAAGTGAAACGTCATCATGGGCTATGCAAGTGAAGTGAAACTATGTCTTAAAAACAGAAAAACTTGAGCTTTTGAGGCGGGTCATCAGATAAAGGGACTTGCAGTCAAGTTCAATCTCAGAGACAGACATTGTAGAACGAGAAAACTGACTCCAGTAAGTTGTCTTGTGACTTCGTTCTGTGCAGTTCGGAGGCTAATCTACAATGTTATCTCTGGCATGCTTCTCTTATGCAGCCAGGTGAAGTTTCTAGTAGAGGGAGTCCCAAGCCGAGCCAAGCATCCCCTTGGACAGTATTTCCAAGTAAAAGAACAAATAACAATACATACTTATAACATCATCAGATCTGCCCCTCGCCGCGTCCAGCAGAAACTGACTGGGAGGTTTAGGCCGTAAAGCTGGAGTTCCCAAATTGCATTTTCTCTCCATGAATGAACTCGTGGTAGAACTTCTCACTCATCTTTCTACTGCAGGCCTTTTTATACCATGGTTTAAACACTAGTTGCCTCTGTTGGGAATTGTTTATTTTTTAGCTGTTCTCAAGGACACAATGTTTTTACTCCTGGGCTTTTGCTGTCAGTCCTTCTTTCCTGTCACAAAGTTGGTTTGGGGCGCCCATCCCCAGACAACAGATCTTGGAGGACACTTGACATAAACATGCTTGAAGTAAGGGGACCAAAATCCAACAATCTTTCAATATACTGTATATTACAGATCCGGGGGCACACCGTTCACAGCCGCCCCACACAGATGAATAAATGAGTGAATACATAAACAAATGTAACTAAAAGTCAAAAGGCTCTGAAACTTAAAAGTGGAAATTATATTTTGACATTTTTTCATATTAGCAAATAAAATAATATAAATTTTCTATGTAAACAGCCAAATTTGTTCCATTTAAAGCCTGTTGTTGACTGTCTATTATCTATTTGCCTCTATGCCAAAATTAAGTGAAATGTGGTAAATTGAGTAGTGGTATGAATTGCTTACATTTTTTTCTAGAGTAGTACTGTGTATTTTAAGCTAGTATTGAATTTTAGGCTCCTTAGTTTTTTTAAATCACTGAATAGTAGCAATGGCAGATAAAGTCAATATTCTTGATGCGAAGACAAAGGTTGATGGAACTCTTCAGATGCCAGCTTAGGGATTCAAGAGTTGAAGAAATAGGTCATGGAAAACAGTAATTTGTTTTTAACCAAGAACAACATTTTGCAAAATTCTCAAAAAGATTATCTTCTTGAAAAACCATGCTGTAGAGACACCGGGTTAGTGTTTATTCTAACTGTGTGCTTATTATTAAAAGGGAAATTTTACTTATCCAAGTGTAGTGATGCCAGAGCTTCAGGGACTTGCTATTGGGCGAGTAGCTAGTAAGTATACCAACACTTTATAGTGTTTCCAGATGCTAAATGACATGCATATTAGTTTTACTATTGCAAAAACAACCAAGGGTAAAATAATCTCATTAGACTTTAGAAAAATAAATTGATTTGGGGCTTTAAGGTTAAGTGATTTAGGTTCAGATATTTAGAAGTGACTTCTAAAAGTAAGTCTGTGCACACTGCTTCAGAAAGTTCCTTGGTGCTCATGTGCAACAGTCTGAATGGTCCATGTGTTGCCTTAATGTTCTTACAGACCCCGCTCCCCTAAAGGGTGGTGGACAGGACCTCTCTTTTTATAGATGACGTTTGATTTGCAGCATGGCTTCAGCTGTTTCTGTGTAATTTAACTCTAGGAGTTCTTACAGTTTGTTGCGCAGCCATGTGTTGTGTGGTTTCTTGACACTGCTTTAAGAGAAGAACAAACCTTTCAGATATCAGCAGTCCTACTATATCTGGTCGTGAATTTTTTCCTGATTTTTCTTTTTTATCTACTCTAAGAGACACCTTGAGTGAAAGTAATTTTGATAGGATTTTTTAAATTTTATGCATGTTTGTGCCATTAGAGTAAGTGATTTGGGCTCCGTTTCTAAGTCATTCTTCTAAAGGTGTTGTGTTTCATGTTTCTGTCACTGCTGCCTGCACAGTAGCATTTCCTACTGCAGTTAATGTGGTTTGTTCTCTCGTAATCTCGTGTTAGTTTTTATAATAGCTGTATCCTCTTAATTATCCTTCAGAGAGCCTGACTTTACACAGCTCCCTTTTATAGGAACACTTGCAGCCCCAGCTCTGTTCTCTCGGCCGCTGTCTATGACATGAGTGCTGAAGCCCTGAAATATTTCAGTTTCTTAGTTGATTAGTGATAAAAGTATAAGAGGCTATCTAAGAGGTCCTAAGAGTAATGCAAAGAACAACAGAATTTACATGATTAGAAGAAGTTAGAGCAGATAGTACAATTGTAAAGGAGATAGGGTACCTTGAAAGGTACCAAAGCATTTTAATATAAGGTGTGGGATTCAGATGGAAAATAGTTAAGTATTACATGAAAATTAAGACGTTTAATTCCTGGGGCAGCTAGTTAACTCTGGAAAGTTAAAGTTGCTCAGCTTGTCTTAAGCTGAAGAAATATTCTTTGTTGAAGAGAGTATGGATAGGGTTTTATTGCTGGCATGAGGATTTTATTTCATAAATATGTTTAAGAGTTTCCTATTAATCGTGTGTGTGTGTGTGTGTGTGTGTGTGTGTGTGTGTGTGTGTGTATACATTATGTAGTCCAGCCTTCTCTTTATAGGCAAAGAAACAGAACTTTAAGGGATGAAGTGGTTTATGTCCATGATCACAGCAAACTGTCTCTCTAGTTCCACTACATCAGTCATGTTACATGAAACTGCCATGGCCCGTAGAGGCCAGGAAAACTGAAGACACATTTGATGTCACTTGACTGAAAACCTGGGTCCATGTACTGACTAGCTTTAGGATTGTAGATATTCTGGTTCAGGTAGTGTTTGGACAGTGTTTGGGAAAGTAAGGACTATAACACTGGGTGTGGCCACCAGGAGTAGCACATCCCCACCCTCTGAGTTGAGACCAAAAATGTCTTTAGCTATTGCTAGGTGTTGCTTGGGTATTGGGTAGGAGTGTTTATAGTACAGAATCACTGGACTCTGGTTGGCAAATCCATACCACTGGTGTTTCAAGTCCTTATGGAAGATACGTTTAATTTTTATTTCTGTCCAAGTAGCCCGTCATGTTTCTCAACATATCCTCTATCAATCAAGTGGAATTGATACACAAGATTAACTCTATTAGTCATTCCTAGACTAGAAAGCAGGGTTTATGATAAGATACAAATAGTAATCTATAATTTAACTAAGGTATTCAGAAGGCCAAAGATAATAAATTTTAATAGTAATAATTGCTGAAGCTACTACTGATTGCAGAAATAATGTAGGCACAGGTGTCCATGTTTTTCCAGATGGGCTACATCTTTCCTTTGCCTGTCTCCAACTTGATGATTTACTAAGGATTTGTGTGGTTGGCCCTTGGGTGTTCTCCTAGCATGCTTACGATTTGCTTGCTGTGCTCTTTCTGGGCTCCACTCTGTACCAGTTCCCATGCTGATCCTGGTTGTCATGACTTCGTCTGAAGCTTATTTTTGGATATAAACTTTGTGTTTCCAAAAATGAGTTCAGTCTTAAGGGACTGGATAGTGCAATTAGAAAATGGCAGTTAGTCTTGAACTAGTATGAGCTTGTTTAATTTGAAAGTTTCCTTTACTTTGTTGGTGCTCATAAATATTCATTGTAAGTAACACTTCTGTCTCTCTACGTGGAAAGACACTTTGTCAGTAGGAAGAAGGCAGCAGGAGAGGCAGATTTAGTGAAGAACGGACAGATCTGTGGTCAGTAGTTCTTCCTCAAGGAGGTCTGACAGATTTTTTAAAAGTCTGTACTTCTGTCCTCCTTCTCAGTTCTTTGCACAGCTTCAGGAGAATTTGAACCATCTTAGGTCTCTGTGAAGTTATTCAAAATGATGTCTCTTGTAACGTTACAGGGGGTTTTAGCTCCATCATTCGGCCCCTTTGATTTAGCACAGCAGCAACACAGCTATTGCCTGTTGCGGTCTCAGTAACAATGAACATCATGTGGCCTTGAGTTTCTTCTAAGGATCCAACATGGGAAGAGAGGAGGAGGGGAGGACAATGCACTGTGTTTGTGTGTGAACTTTAAAAATTGCATCCTAGTTTATTTTCAGAGACAGCTGAATGGGGACATGGGGCAGGAATGTGCTCATCATACAGGAGGGGCTAATGCTGGGTGAGCCAAACTCTGCCTCAAGCCCCAGGCTTAGTGTATTCTTTTTCATGGCAGAGCCAAAACAGAAAAATTTACTTTTTTCTGATTCTTTCCTCATTTTCATCTGTTTTAAAAGGTTAGTCCAATTTTCTCAGGCTTTTCCTTACTTTCCCTTTCTTTTTTGAGCCAGTGGAATTAGTTTAGGTAGAATTCATAGATGTTAGAAATTTTTTGTTGT